AGGCAGCCGCCTCAGCTGCCTGCCACTTAGATCCACCATTTTATCCACTGGCATCTCTTCTAGGTCTTCCAGGAGGTACTTCTGGCATTCATCGGAGGGCACAAAAGCAACTATGGCTTTCAGACTGTTGCCCATACCGGGACTTTCTTTGTTTGGGGATCGCCGGGACTGCAAGGGACAGGGGCCCGCCTCGGTCTTCCCCTGCTCTGCACTGGCCTGCCGGTAACTCCGTCTTCCCAATATAAGGCTGTGTTTACAAGGCACCAGCCATTAATCTCAAGGGCTCTGAAATGTTTCTGATAACCGAATGAGTGTTTGGTGACGGGGATTACGGACAGGATGACTTAGAGCGCAGGTCTCCCTCTCTCGCCCACGCTCCCACTCGCTCCCCCCCGCCCTGAAAGCATTCCTTCTCGCCTCTTCCCGCACGCTATAGATGTTCTCCTATTTTGCCCCAAACTGTCGCCCCGATGCCCCAGCCCCTCACCTCTCGCTCCAGCTGTGCTGTCTGTGCAGCTGGTGCTGGCGGCGGGGATTGGCTCTGGAAAGTAAACACCACAGAAGACCAAATTTTTAAACTCAAATGTTTAGCTTTCATGGAACTTTCAGCAGAAATGTCGGATGTAATCAAATTGTTGTTTAAAATACCTGTCAGGACTTGACTGACTTTCCAGACGAGTGGCACTTTTAGGGATTTACTTTGCAAGGTGCCAAATACATAATTTCAGAGTGTAACTTGCCACCCAGTACTTATCTTAAACCTTTAACACAAATACTTGGCAAACTGCTATCTTGAGCTGTTCTACTGTTTATGTTCCTAATTTAATGGTGTTTACTATAGCCTCTGGCACTCTTGACTGTGTAGGGCCTTTTTCATTATATGATGTTTTGCTTCTTGTCTGAATACCCGTTTAATACGCTTGCTATCACAACCTGCCAAGGCTGTTCTCCGGCCGCCTTCCGACTGTGCTACTGCAGTGCCTGTGTCCGTACCAAAACCTGGCAAGAAACTGCCATGAGTCTCCATCCCTGGAGGTATTTAAAAGAAGGGTAGACGTGGTGCTTGAGGACATGGTTTAGTGGTGGACTTGGCAGTGATAGGTTAACGGTTGGACTCGATGATCGTAAGGGTCTTTTCCAACCTTAATGTTTCTATGATTCTATGATTTAATTCCATCAAGATTCTCACTTGTTATGAGCGAGATAAATACGATGTTAAAAGTTTAGATGTGACAGTGTAAACTGTTCCACTTCTTCTCTCCGCAAGACCCATTGCTATCTAGGTCGGGAGCACCTCTGATTTCTAGGAGGAGCCTTCCCATGTGTAGGCACCTCTGCATACTTTGGCTTCTTGAGCTGCTGCTGTTTTAAGCTTTCTTGGGGATTGTCCCACCTGTGCCTTGGCCACGATCTTTGGGTTTGAAAGCTGGCAGAGTGTTTTAAGGTGAAATAGCCTTTCTGGCAGCTGGCTCTCTACTTTGATATCTACAGCTCACTGCTGTCATTTTCCACACTTACGCTCTCATTTAGGGAGGATACTTTCTTCAAACAATCTACAGTCGGTTTCTGGGCATTAAGTGCTACACAACCAAAATACGTGATTGCTGAGAGGCAGGTATTCTTGGAAAAACAAAAGGCAGAACAAACAGAAGACAGAAAAAAAGGCAATATCAAACAGTTAAGGTGGCCTCTGGATCTCTGGTCCAATCTGGTAATACGGGTTTGTATTACCATCACTTGCTTTCAAAAGTAAAGCAGCTCTTATGTATAGGCTCTTGTGTATTAGGCTATAGGATGCTTACGAGTCTCTTCCGAGTGGCTGTGGCATGCAGGATGAAGGATGGATGGAGGGTTTCCTGGGGGAGGAGAACAAAAGAGAGCGCATCTGGGGACCAGCATTGCAGCAGGATGGAGAACAGCAAGTGCTGCGACCTGAGCGCCATAAAACAGGTTTTGGACGGAGAAGCTGGGCAGAATATCAAGCCTGGAGAACAAAGATACGGTGCAGTCATCTGTGGCCATGCTGTGGAAGAGAGGCGCTGAAAATACTCCCTTTCATGTCAGAAGGCAGGACATGCTGGGCGCAGCGTGCCAGCGGCAAGAGCGGGTTGGCACTGAATGAGCATCTCAGAGTAGCCACTTCTTTACTGCTTTAACCCTACGCGCCCTGTCAGAGGACTGCTGTGGGGAACGTGTCATTCCTGGATTTCACAGGGCATCCTTTCCCAAGCAGTTACCCTGGAATGAGATCTGACTTTTAAGAAAATATTCCCATGGCCCTCAGCAGGTTTTTGTATTTCCATTTCTAAGCGTCTGCAGCACCTTCTAAAGGCAAGGTTCCTCGCCATGTCGAGACACTGTATGCTTCAGCTGTGGGAAAGCAAATGCATTTGATGTAAATAATAATGAATTTACATCCATGGCAAAGACACGTCCCTTGGACAAATCCCTTTGGATATCCTGCTGAGCAGAACAACATAAAAGCCTGAGTAAGAATATGTTAATAATATAGTTTAGGTACATTTTTCCTCTATAATCCATATGGCGAAAAGTAACTTTGCAATATACCTTATGTCTATAAACACAGATACGTATATATTTTTTTCTACTTGAATTATTTCTTCTTAATGAAACTTTTAAGCTGCAGACAACTATTTCTTAGGGATCCTCTGCATTGTAGTTTAATCATTATTCCAGCTTATCAAAAAAAGTCACGATGACCTTTTGTTGTTGCATTTTGTACCTCTGTTGGCTAAAGGAATGTCTGCTTGGAACACGCTGTGAGATCAGAGTATTTGGGAAAAAAATGACCTTCGTGTGGTGGGATAATAAAGGGCTACATCTGCAATAAAATGAACAATCTTGATCCTTCTGAGAATCAGTGACTCAGCGGAGGCCCTAAGGCAAAGGCAGTCTCCTCAGTAGATCTAGGGTGGTGTTTTGAAAGCCGCTTCACATCTTCAAAGTTATCCTGATGCCCTCCAACGTGAGCGTTCCTGACTTCCCAGAAGCATTTGTGGCATTTGAGGAAAAGTTCAAGCGATAAAGGCGCTCAGCACAGACGTTGTCTTGCTCTTGTCAAAGCGGCGCTGCCCTACCAGAGGGCACGACATCTGCTCCGCGTCGACTGGCGCGTGTAGGCTCCTCGAGAAACGCCTTTGCTTTCTGAAAGTTCACAAATGACCACAGCTATTGCTCACCGTTCTCACTTCCAGCATCCAGCTCCTGCAGCTCAGTGGCTGGGATGGCTGTGGCACAAAAAACATGGTTGCTGAGAACATGTGTAAAACCTCTGAGTCTAGAAGAAACAGGGAACACTGCTCAGAGCTAGACAATTAAAAAAAAAATCACAATAAAATGGAAATAAATATAAAAGCTGTGTGTTGTTATTCCTGCATTTTTGAGATTGTTTTTTTTTTTTTTTTAAATAGAACATTAGAATAGAGATAGTGGTGCTTTTTCAGATCCAAAGCTCTGCACGCAGCTGTGTGATGACACCAGGCTCAGCCTTTGCTGAGAGCAGGTTGTGTAGCCCTCACAATTTTGGAGGTAAGTTTGAAAAAGCAAACCATGTATTTCAAAATGCAGGGGACGAATGAAGAGAGCTCTAAAATCGTTGATTTTTAAGCCTCTCATGCCCCTCCTTAATCAGCCTGACATAGCAAGGAAGGAGGCTTAAAGGAATAGTTTTTAAGAATGTCTTCAGTATGTGCTCATAATGATTTGCTTTATATTTATTTAAAGTCTGTGACAGGCATTTAGACCCCTTGTTCGCTCACAAATGCTGTGTGCTTAGTTTTTTCTGCTGTTTTTTCCTTGACTGGAGCATTGCCGCTGGAGCGGATGATGACTCCTGCCTCCTCCACGTTCTCAGCGTTCATTCTTTGCTACACACTGTCACACATCTGCTCTCTTTTGGAGGGGTTACTTAGTTCCAGTTCACCTTCGTGTGGTGAGCAGTCTATTTTAAATAAGCGATATATTGCAGGGGAATAATCAGTATTGCTCTTTTCCCAGCATCCTAGCTGGGTCTTTTGAACAAAAATGGCTGATTATTCAAATTTAGCCTTAATGTATGCTAGGCTGCAGTATGTAATTGCTCACCGCACTTTCTCGTGCCGAGGAAAGATTCAAAAAGTCTCGTAAGTAAATTGCAGACTCGGTGCTGAGCTTCCTCCCAGGCAGCTAATGGGTTTGGGGTTGCTCTCTGTCAGATCAGAGTCTCTTTTTGACACCATTATTTTTCTGCCAGCTTGATTTGAACCTAAGTGTCAGGCAGGGGTGGGAACCGCTAACCTCAGGACACTCGCAGGAAAATAAATCCAAGCGAGTGCTTCCAAATGTCTTGCTGAAATGTGTACAAAACCACTGGCTGTTTATTACCATATGTTGCAGCCTGTCATGTTTTTTACTTTTAGGACCCATTTTTTGGGGTGGCAATAACATTTATGTTTAGAATGGAGCTCTCCCGTAAATAGGGAATTAAACCTCAGTTGTTAGGGGATGACTTGTCACAACCCTATCAAATGTCCATCTGCTCAGCCCTGCTGAAATGCCTCCAGGTAAAAGGGAAATGGTTATATGTTATGTCCTCTTTCTCTGCGGTGGACACTTCTGGGCCTCTTGTCACTAAAGCGAGCTTGAAAAGCAGCTTACTTGGAGGGCACCAGGCAAGTCCTTGGACTGCCTCCTCTTCCCCATGCTAATGGGAGCAGAGCTCGCCTCATTTATTATATTTATGTAAAAGACATTAAGGATTGTTAGTAAAATGTTTGTTTGGTCTAGACTGTGCCCTGGTGATCTGTGCCTTAGTAGCTTTACTGGACACCGATATTTGCACAATCCAGCGGTTACTCTGAGAGCAAATTAATCGGTTTGCTGCCAAAGCACTGACCTCCTGTGATTGATTGACCTGGCGAGCAGCCCTCTGCTGACAACGGGGTATAAAAAAGGGACTTCTGAGTAAATGAGTGTCATTAGACTCCGAACCGCTTGGAGACATGAGGGTGATACTGTTGGCTGTGGTTTACATCCCCTTCACCGTGGCCATGGAACGGTAAGAAAACATGCCTAGCATCACTGACGCATGTCTCAGCTGGCTTCCTGGGGTTACTTGTGCTTGTTGTTACCTGAGATCTCAAAAAAGAAACAAAATTTTAAAAAAAGAGTATATGAGAACTCTAGAAAAGAGATCCGGTTAATTTTTGTGTGTTTATTTTATTTGCATAGAATCCCTCTCATTCGATTCAAATCTATTAAGAAACAGTTGAAGGAAAGGGGAGAATTAGAGGAATTCTGGAGGAATCACCACCCCGACATTTTTGCCCGGAGGTACCTGCATTGCTTCCCTGCAGATATTGCTTTATCAGTAGGAACCACTTCAGAAAGGCTGTATGATTACATGAATGTAAGTACAGTTTTGGTAACGCAATCATAAGGACTCGCTGTTCTCTTGAAGGCAGAATTTTTTTCCCAGCACGTTTGAAATCTAGTCCCTCAATGAAATTATAGGGCTTGAGATGGCTCGTTGCTCTACACTATAAATACTAGATCATAAAAAATTAATTTACCAGTCTGCAAAATAAAGCACATATGGATTTAGGTTAGCATGGGTGGGACCCGGGTAGAAAGCTGATGTAATCTATCAGCGCTAGTCCTGTGACAAGTTTTATTTGTGTATAGACATGTATTGGACTTGGTTGGGTCTCCAAGCAAATATGGAAGGTTTGCCTCTATCAGTCTTGGTTTGGGATTGGGTTTTTAGTAGCAGAATCGGATTACTTCGTTTAGCTATATTCTATTTATCAGAAACTTGGATATTTGTGTGTTATAAAAAATCCCCCAAATCTCATCTATTTGATCATGTAGAGTCATAAATCAGTGATAACAAAGACCAAGTAGAGTTTTTATTTTTCTTCTTTTATCTCCTGAGCTTAGGGTCTATTAAATATTTGAGACTGACCTGGGTCTCACACTAACCTGGCTGAATTTACCCTCTGAACTGAGAAAGGAAAAATATGAATTTCACTGGATCTCAGACAGGCAGGTCAGCGGGTCAACCATTTTGTAAACTGTCTTTCCTGGGTTTAGCATTTTGTTCGTTTGGTTGGTCTCTGTTTTCTATTTTATTCAGTTCTTCTGTTATGCTTATCTAAAGGAAAGCTAAGTTGCAGAAAGGTTGTGGAGGCTGCAGCTCAACAGGGAGGGGAAGGGAAAGCCAGATTAATTCAGCAAGAACTTCCTGACGCTTGAGGGCCATAAAGGAATGTGTCAAGAGGAGCTAGAGATGTGTGTGAAGAAGAACAAAGGAGACTGAAAAACTTCAGCCTGCTCTAAAGCTTATCAAAGAGGGATAAATATCAAAAAAACCCAAAGCAAAATCCACGTCCTCAGCATATCCAGCTAGCACAAGGAACAGTTTTGTGGAAGTTTCAGTGTGGTGTGTTTGGGGGGGTTTTTTGGGTTGGTTTTTTTTTTGGACCAACATGAGTTAGAGCTGCCTTACTTTACAGATTAATCAATAAAGGTTTGTTTAATACAGGAAGGAATAAAATCCTGCTATATAGTTGGATATTCTCTTAAATGGTGCGCTTGCTCGCCTTTTCATGATTATCTCATTCAGACTGTAAACTCCGGGGTCAGAAACCATATTCAGTGTATTATTTAACAAGTATGCACTTGAAGATACATATTCAAATATTTGTATTGCTACAAAAGGCTTGGCACTGGGTATTGCTTTTCTATCTGCATTTGAATTCCAGAAATGCCTCTTCCTAAAAATAGGTCTCTTAATGCTGAAGTGCTCTTCCAGGGCCAGATAGGGGCACTTAGACACTTGCATTTGGGATGTGGATAAGCTCTTCACTCCAGCATTCACGTGTTCACAGACTATCTCTAGCTTCAATTGGTATCCAAGGACGGTCAGTGGTTTCTTTATCCACTGGATGAACTTTGTTCCATACACCAGATACAGTCTCTGCAACAGAATTCATTTTTTAACTTGCTAATAGCGGCTAATTACAAAGGAAAAAGCCCACCCATCTGTGACAGCATTTGTGCCACAGGTTGTAGCGAGGTGGGGGTCGGTCTCTTCTCCCAAGTAACAAGCGACAGAACGAGAGGAAATGGCCTCGAGCTGCGCCAGGGGAGGTTTAGATTGGACAACAGGAAAAATTTCTTCACCGAAAGGGTTGTCAAGCATTGGAACAGGCTGCCCAGGGAAGTGGTGGAGTCCCCATCCCTGGAGGTATTTAAAAGACGTGTAGATGTGGTGCTTGGGGACATGGTTTAGTGGTGGTCTTGGCAGTGCTAGGTTAACAGTTGGACTTGATGATCTTAAAGGTCTTTTCCAAGCTAAATGACTCTACGATTCTATGATTTCTTACTGACATCAGCAGGGAGCTGCCTGAAAGCCTGCATGGTCGTGTAACAGCTTTGTCTTGGGGCTGACCTTGCCACCACTAAAGTCAGTGCAAGAGGGCTTGCCGACTTCATGGGGAACCTGACCAAGCATTTGCTTCAAAGGCTTTAAAAATGCTGCACTGTTATGCATGCAGCTGGAGTGAAATCTGCTGCCCGCAGCCACTTGCGGAGCCAGACACACTTCCCTGTGGCTTGCATTTACGTTTAGACGAAATTGCACCGAACTCCCTGAGAAAGCATTGTGTGATGCTCCCAAGTCTGCTTTTTCCTCAGGAATAGCTCACCGGGAGGCAGGCCGGGGCTGACCGGGTTTTTCCTCCTCCAGGCGCAGTACTACGGAGTTGTGAGTGTCGGCACGCCGCCACAGAGGTTCACCGTCGTGTTTGACACCGGCTCCTCCAATTTTTGGGTCCCTTCTGCTTATTGCATCAGTGAAGCATGCAGTAAGAAACGTCACCCTCCCTTATGCTCCTCGTGTCTCGGGTACCTTGGCCATTTCTCCTTTCCCAAGGAGCTCGCCTGCAGCTGGGATTTGGGAGGGGAGGATTTGGAGCACCCCCGAGGGCTGCTCTCCCCTCCCCATCCTGCTCCTCCGTCTCTGCCCCTCCGTGCTGCCCCGCAGCCAGGGCAGGCGCTGGCTGCAGCTGCCAAACATCCCTCCACACCACGAGGTGCCTGATGTAAAAGGCATGAAAATAAACCTGGGAGAGCTACAAATAGCCGTGGAAATGCCCATTTTTGTTTTGATTTGCCTTTGAAACCCAAAATAACCTCCGAGGTACAGAAAAACAGGGTTACCTGTCGGGGAACAGGCACCTCCATCAATGCCTTTCTTGTAAGACAAGCAAACATCTGCCTTGCCTGCATCTTGGCCAACTCTGCGTCGGGGAGCAGGCGCGGTGCCAGGACCTCCCCTCGGTGCACAGGTGTCGTTTGTTTTGTGTAGGGGTGCACCAGAAATTTAAGTCCTTTCTGTCGGATTCGTATGAGCACGGAGGGGAAGCTTTCTCCTTGCAGTACGGCACGGGACAGCTTCTGGGCATTGCTGGCAAAGACACGCTGCAGGTGAGACTCCGCCTAAAATGGGTGTCAGCCTCCAGGTCAACTGTTTTCAGGGCAGTTCAGTTACTGGCCTTGCCCTAGAAGACCTTACCTGGTTCAGGCAAGGGCAGGGGGATGTCCCACCAAGACAGGTGCTGAGAGGTGTGGGTGCTGCTCTGGCTTTGGGCTACCCAAATAAACCCCTAAGATTTTATTTTGCATTTCTGCTTCTCTCCTTGGGTCCTGTCCTGGGTTTATGAAGAAACATCCACAGAATTAAGGTATTAAAAGGAATCGGTGCAGCCTACCTACCAAACGGGCACCTGCTATGTTGATGCAAGTCACACAAGGATATCCAGGCTTTATAAACTGAATGAATCCATTGATATGGATCTGAAATGTGGCTAATTTCTTGTTACTGGCGGTGTCTTTACTTTCACTTGTACCAAACAGATAAGTAACATCTCCATCAAGGGACAGGACTTTGGCGAGTCGGTGTTTGAGCCAGGAACAACCTTTGCCCTTGCCCACTTTGATGGCGTGCTGGGCTTGGGCTACCCCTCCTTAGCAGTGGGCAATGCTCTGCCCGTGTTTGACAGCATCATGAACCAGCAGCTGGTAGAGGAGCCGGTCTTCTCCTTCTATCTGAAAAGGTCAGTCTTTAAAGTGACACTGCCAAAAAAGAAGCAAATCTATTTTAATTGTTGAGACAACCATGCATCTGTATAAGTCTTCAATTCTAGAAAGTAATTTTCCCCATTTGTTTGTTTGTTTGTTTGTTCGTTTTTTCAATTTGACACTGAAAAATATGGAGTGAAAAGGAAAAATGTGCTGGGGAGGAGTTATTCTTTTTGGAGCTGGTCATATAAGAAAAGCTCCCAGCTCAGACTCACCATGTCTGAGTTGCCAGAGGTTTCCTTCTGGCCAGTGGAGATGAACAGAAATGCTGTGCTACACCCAAGTAGCCACATTTCAGAAAATAAATGTTGTTACCCCATCTGGACCTAGCTGTAACTACACCAATTTATCTAGTGTTTATTCTGAGGTGAGAACAGCCACTGGCTCAGCCTGCTCCTGATGCCTGTCTTAGCCCTTGGCAGCCTACAGTAAGTCTTCTCAGAGGTTGTTTGGAGGCTCTGAGTTGGGATATCCACAGTTATAATTTAGAAATAATCCCTTTCAGCCATCCATATCTGAGTTTAGAAAGGGCTGTGGTTTGTCTTTTGCTTTTTAAGTGTAATCTCATTGGTACGTTCTGGGGCACTCCCATGTCTGTGTTAACCTGTCTTCTGCTTTCAGAGGAGATGATGACACCGAGAACGGTGGTGAGCTGATTCTGGGGGGGATAGACCATTCCCTCTACAAAGGTTCAATCCACTGGGTCCCAGTCACGGAGAAAAGCTACTGGCAAATACACCTGAACAAGTATGTATGTATCTACGTATGTATGTATGAAATACCTAGTGGAATCACCTCCCCAGGTAACACCTGCAGAGACAGAAACACCTAGCCATACAGATGCAGGAGGACTCGGCTGCAGTGTTTTACCCTTGTGCCTGTCAAAGAAGGGGTTCACCAGGATGAGACCGGGGCTTATTAGCTCTCTAAATCTGCTGTGACATGGGTAGCTGGTTTCTGGGAGAGCACGTTAGTATGTTTTAATATGATACACCACTGGTCAAGTTGACTCTTGGTGGACTATTCAGTTAAGAGGTTAAGGCACCCAGGAACTGAATCCAGCTCCAGGTCCTGCTCTCATCTTTCCTGTTGACCTTCGTCAAAGTAGTCAGCGTCCGTTCAGTCCTTCTTCTGCTGCACAGATCCATGAGGACACATACCTGTGGGTGAGGACAAATTCATCAGCAGGCAACAAATAATTAGGGTTGCAGGAGTCCTGAGAGAGAAAAGCGGTTCCACAAATGAGAAGTCTTCCTCATGCTGTTTCCTTTTATTATGTCCTTGTCTTTTAAAGATGTTGTTTTCTTTTAAGACTGGGAAAGCCTGGCAGCTAGTTTTAACTTCAGACCATACTCTGGTACTTTAGCTGGCAATAATATGCTTCTTCAGTCACAATGTATGTGCCATTTGCTTAAACATGCTTTGTTTTTCATTTGCAGCATAAAGATCCAGGGCCAGGTGGCATTTTGCTCCCATGGCTGCGAAGCCATCGTTGACTCAGGCACTTCTCTTATCACCGGCCCCTCTTCACAAATCAGGCGATTACAGGAGTATATTGGGGCAAGCCCGTCGCATACTGGAGAGGTAAAAACTATACAGCCAGAGAGGAAGAGAAACTGGTATTTGGTGCAAAGAGCTCATAGGGTGGGAAAAAAACTGAAATAATTGCTCAGAAAGGTCTCAGTGAAAGCCTTGTTTCCAGGACAGCACTGAACTCAGAGCCATGCTGGTTTTGACCCGTCTGCCTTGCTGCCCCAGCCCTCCTCCCGCATGTCCACCTCCTCTCCCATACTCACCAGTACTGGTGTGTAAGGAAATAATGGGGGCATCAGTTTGAGGAACTGATCCATACTCTGCATCAGAGAGAACTTTCTTTTGGAAACTCAGAGGAGCACTTCCTTTCAAAGCCCCTGGCTGTAGCCGTTGGCTCACTCAGGCCAGGAGGGGTGCAGTGCTGATGGCCAGCCCTGTCAGTATCAAATGGGAAGGGAAAGGTATTGTAGTTGCAGCCCCGCAATGGTTCCACCGACAGCATCTCTCACCGTCAGCTTGCAGCAGAGCAGGCGGTGTCGTGCTGGGGCTCCCGGGAGGGATGCACATCTGTGATGCTCACAATGCCGGCTGCGGGCAGGTGAGCCACGGGGTGCAGGACCTGCCTCTTATTCTCCCTCCTGAACCTTATTCCTCTGTCTCCTCGCTGGTTTTCCTCTCTTCCTTGCTGCTCTCTCCTGCGTCCCCGTTACTGACACTCCCCACCAGTCCACCCTGTCCCTGCCTGCCCTCTGAGGAACACCTCCACCTCCTCCAGCAGGCCAAAACAGCCTTGATGCATCGCTTCGTGGCCTCTGTGGCCCCACACCTGTGGTCCCCAGCCCCCCATGCCTCTTGGGGGGGCTTGCGTGAGCTGAGGTTCCTCAAGGTAGGTTAGGCTTTCCCACCGCCTTGCCTGCAGGCCAGGCTGGGATGTCTCTCTGCCACCCTTCGCATCTCCCTGCTGGCAATTTTAAGATGGCATGACCAAACCCTTGTAATGTCAAAAGCACTGAGATAACAAGTCTGAAACGGCTAAACCCACCTGCCTTCAGGGAGAGAGCAGCTTATTTTTACTGTGCCTTATTGCTGGCCCTTGGCTGACTCCCATGGCTAATTACCACGTCCCCACAGCTCCAGTCCCCCAAGTAAAGCTGCCGCGTATGGTTGCTGTTAACTTCGCGGTTGTCTTGATCCTGACACAAAACTGCACTTGGAAGAAAATGAAGAGTGTTACGGTCGCCCAGTGCACTGGGCAAAGATCAAAGTCACAAGTGGACTTTTAATCTGCCTCCTTTTGTAAGAGGAGGACTCGGAGCAGCAGCTGTGTAACTAGTGAAGCTTCTGATTCTTTCTCAATTAAACCTTAAATTTCATTTTTATTCAAATCTTCAGATACATGTCAAACAGTATGCTTTAATAACAAGTTGGTTTTGTAATGGTACATACTAATGGATAGAGATAAAATATGTATTTCCAGTGCACTTCTATTAGTGTAATATAAACAAGAAACAGGTCATTGCAGTATAAGTTCATATACTCCAGTGCTGACGTAAGAGCACTCAGCCAGCGTCTCAGATTCTGCAAAAAAACATCCTGAAAATAAGACTTTCTATGACCATTTTTGTAGCAACCACAGACAAGCTGAGTATATTGGCTCGAATCTATCCCAGTGTAAATGGGTGCATCCATCAGTCATTTTAGCAGAACTTTTATCTCTTTCCAGCAAGGATTAATTTGTTCTGGACGTACTAGCTATGTAAATGAATTATGTTTTGCTTCTCGTATGCTACAAACCATTATACTGGCCTTTTTACCTTTGCCCTCTGTATCCTATGGTTTATTTTGTTCTAATGGTATGACACCTGATAAGTATACACAAGATGTAGTGTGTAAACAACAAGAAAAAAAGTAGCTTCTTCCTTATAGGAAGCCTCTAAAACAATGACTTTAAACACTACAGTTTACAGCAAAGATCCCTCTGGGGCTTGGAGCATTCTGCAGTGCCATTTAACACGCCAGTTGTTTCATGAAATAACTAGAAAGGCCAGGAAATGGTCTTCTGTGTTACTGTAAGTGAATGCATTATTTATGGAAATTAATGGCCATGTCAGAGTTTAGTCCTTCTTCTGCTCTTTAAATACCACTCCAGGGCAGAGTATAAAGTGCCGTATTCCTCGCTGGCTTTTTTTCCCCACAACTATGATGTTACGGGAGGGATCGTGGTGAGCTGCAGATGCAGGGTGCTCCCTGCGTGGGCTGGAGGCCGCTCCCTCCACCCAGTCCCATCCAGAGCATCGGAGGACTTTTGCTCAGCAATAACATGGGTTCACTGGGTCTCACACACTCAGTTTTGCTTCCAAGTTGTACAGGGGGGACGTCAGAGTCCTCTTTCACCTTGTCCCTTTTGGGGCTTGCGAGGATTTTCATCAGCCCTGGGTCCCCAGAGGCTTTGGTGCAGTGGTCTGGGCTGTTAGGCTGGTTTGACCCAGTGCGGGAGCCGGGAAGCCGGAGGGCAGTGTTGGGCCATAAGTCAGCCTGATGCTGTTACTCTGCAGTAAATTCACTGTTAGTGCCGCAAAAGTCTTGCATTCAAAGGGCAATACTTAAAAAAAGGCAAACCAATCCCATCTCAACCAGTGTGTCGCATACAGTTTCTCGTAGACTGCAGAAGACTGTCCAGCTTGCCTCACATAAGCTTCACGATCAGACACCACGAGTACAAGCTGACAGCAGAGCAATACATCATAAAGGTGTGTATCCGTGGGCTCCCTGCTCCCCCGTCCCCGCTGCCCGAGCCGGGGCTGGAGCAGGCGGCCGCAAGGACATGTGCTTTCCTTTCCAGGAGTCTATTGAAGACGAAAGCTTCTGCATAAGCGGCTTTCAGTCTCTCGACATCACCACTCGCACCGGCCCGCTCTGGATTTTAGGAGATGTCTTTATGTCTGCGTTTTACTGCATTTTTGACCGTGGGAATGACAGAGTGGGATTTGCAAAAGCTGTTCATAGGAAGGATTACTACTGAGTCGCAATAGCATTTATACTGCCTTAACCCGACTGTTAATGTAATGATCTTCAATGCACATGTGAAGAAGGGCTTTAACTGAAACTCTGCACCTAAATGCAGTCATGTTTGGGCTTTGGGGTGATCCTTGTCCCAAATTATATAGTTTCGTTTAATCTCTATATGTTTGCAACTGAGAAACAATTTTTCCTGAATAACTGATGGACACCACAGCTCTCAGGATGAAATGAAAACAGCTCAGCACTCAGATTTGCAAAAGAGCAGGAAGGATAAAAATGCTGAACAGTGCCAGGCTGACAAGATAGCAGTTACGAGTGGGGGAAACTAATCCCAGCCTGGTCTGGTCTGGGTACACTTTTTTTTCTTGTGTGCTAGTTTCCACCTCATTTCCTACTGCTTTCCTTTTCCTCGCTATTTTCCACGGTTGGGGTTTTGTCCAACCTTGTTTCCTTAGTGCCATGCAAATTCTTTTTATATGGGCTTGCTCCAACCAGTTTATATAACAGGGGAATTTGGCTGATGCCTGTGTGGCCACTTATTTCCACTACTGCTCCTTGCATACAATATCCTGCTCCTTATGCCATCTCGCAAGCCTGCTTTTTCGCTTGGGTTCATTCTCACTTGACACTTTTTTTCCTCTTTTGGGTCTCGGTTGTTTAATGTCCATGTCTTAGGTCAGATGCTGCTTTTAGCATCTGACACCCCTGCCCCTTGGCAGCGTGGGCAGCTGGGAGCAGCATCTATTCGCATTGCACAAACCAGACCGCAACCCTTGCAAAGGGACCTGCAAAGGGACACCGCAGCGTCCCTCCACCTCAGATGAGTGACGAATCCGATGCGCCAGCAGTAGGCTTCTACTGCCCTTTCCTCAGCCACTTCTTGCCGGCAGCAGCAGCAGCTTCAGAGCTGGCAGGGGTGTGAAACAGCCACAGGTAGCTGCACTGATTTGGCAAAAGAAGATTCATCTAAATTATACCCATTGGAGTATTTGTTCGGATTGCTAAAGCTGATACTGCCACCTTACATGCGAATAAAACTTAACCAGGCAAAATCTGCTTTGGACTTAGTGCTGTTTCAGTTTTATTTTATGTTTTCTTACAGTAGTTTCTGTGTAGTGAGGCCAGACAGGAGGGCGAGGAGAGGGTGCAACCGTGATTGAAAATCCAGCTTGCTCTGCGGCCTGGAGGAGAGAGATGGGACATGTTGGGATGTTGGGGCTGCTTGTGTCTCCCTAAAGCCAAAAAATGTCTGCAGCCCCGGGCCCGGGCCCCGGGTGCCTCCCAGGCAGGGTAGGGCCATGGGGAGCTGGAGACTGGCATCGCTGGGGCAGGGGCTGGTGGCCCCAGGGGACTTGCTGCTGCTGCTGCCTGTCTGGGTGTGCTTAACACAGACCAAACACAACATCCATTACTGGCCTTGGCAGCGTTACGACCATGGCCCCTGAGGTTTTGTGGCTTCAGTTGTAAGACTCAATAAGTATTACTAAAGCGAGATGGTTTGCCTGTAGGTATCTCTGAAATACTGATCTTGCCTGCCAGTATGAAATACTCCCTCTCCAGTGCACGTTTTCACAGCTCTCTATTTGCAGCCACATTGTGTTACAGGTTTGGCATCCAGGCTATCAACCTCTAGCAACGGGGACTCCGCCGCCAGTTGTCTCTTTTCACAGACAAGACTGAGCTGTACGAAGTCACCATGTATTTCAGGCCAATCTTGCCTTGTTTGCCCTTTGTCCATATCACTCTTAAAGATCAGAGTGACCATGAGCTAACTTATTTATCTAGAAAATATCATTTGTTTGGTTGTAAACCAAGGCAAACAAACATCTACAAAGCCCTATCACTCATTTAACAGCAGCTGGGTATTTTTGTTTTCTCTACTATGCAGCAGACTTACCACTCTGGTACATTTCCATTATTTCTAAAATACATATATATTCCTCAAACATGAGCTTGCAGTCAGAGATCTGTTATTTACGACGGAAGATTTTAAGGGTGGTGGGACGTGTTCCTACACCCTGTCGGTCCCTGCACCGACACCTTGGTTCTATGAATTCCAGTGCAGGGTGCGAACACATCCTAGAAATAGGTGAAAAGTCAGGCAGCGCGTGCAGGGACCAGCCCTCTCTTCATTCTGATATATCTCATCCTGATCAGGATTAACACGATCTGATGGGAGCAAGCTGCTGCTCTGACCTATTTGTCTATCCTAGACCTATTCTCTCCTCAGTCTTTTCCAGCTTTGCCAACTTCTGTAGGTCCTGCCTTGCTGTTCCTGGTAGACATCAAGTTGACTTGTGTGGTAGGTCGAACCTTTGCCAGAAGTGCTTCTTGACAGTTCAGTACAGTCAAGATGACTGTGTTTCTCAAAATGCCTTTATTCATGCAGTAATTTTACATTGTTTATACCAGTGAACGTGAACTGTAAATTGTTGGGTTTGCTAAAATAGTCCATTTACTATGCTAAGGCAAATAGTTTACTGAGAGAAGTGCCTAACAGAGCACATCATAATCCCAAAAGATAATTTAATACAAATCAGAGCCTGCAGATGTTTGCAAAAGTGAGATAACAGACAAAATGAGGAGAGGAATTTTTTCTGATAACTCATCCCAGCACCAGCTTCTTTGCAAGCAATGAACAGATTATAGGTAACCTAGAGCTGGCCCGCTATGTGTGAAATGCTATTTGTGTATTGCAGATTACATCATGGGACTTCGGAGCTGTCATTCCTAATTTAACATGTGTCTACATGGCTAATTAATAGACACCTCTGTGGGACTTTTAACTGAAGCTTTTATCTACCTAATGGTGACTGTGCGGCCACCCTTGGCCTCCATTGACGAATGAATACAGTTGCTAGGCCAGGCAGAGTGACTGGGAGAGGTAACAAAATCATTGCTTGTGAGATGCATAATGTCCTAGTGGAAAGCAGCTGTGTGCACCCTAGGTAGCGGCCAGGCTGAGAAGAAGATGGTGGAAGATCAGTAGAGCTGGATGATGAGAAGCTGGGAACGCTTCTTCAGGCTTAGCAGTGCCGGGATGAAACATGCTGATGTCTGGGTTGGGGAGGATGAGCACTTACCTCCAACACCTTAAGCCCTGGTGGAAGCTGTGTGAAGGAGGAGAGTGAGGAGGTGTGATGGGACTGGACCCTCAGTGCGGATTTGTAGTGGGCACTTTACAGTCATCTCTAATTTCTGGCTTAAATTCCCTTACAGAGAGAAGCACAGTTCCTCAAGCTTATCTACTGTGAAGAGAGAGCTAGATAATAGGCCAGACTTTCTCCATAGCTGCTGAAGACCCTTCCTATACATGTGCAGCTGGGAGGAGTATGGCCAAACTCCCTCGAAACTTGTAGTGCTCTCCTGTCTTTAATGAAGCGCTATGGAGGCGTGCTTCAGGCTCCCAAGGAGAGCAGCAGCTACTTTACCTTTGGGTCTAGCTGTGTGACTGCAGCTGTCCGGTTATCCTTAAAACTTCTCATTTATACTTTAAATTTGCCATTTGTTAAAGGTAAGCTCATTGGTAAATGGTGTTCCTTGACAGTCGCAGATGCAATTAAATTGAGAAAATATTGAATTGAAAAGTGTGGCTTCAGCTAAAAAAAGAAATAGGGAACAGAGAAGAAAGAGGGAATGCTGGAGGAAAATCTTTTTTTCTCTTTTGATGTAGGGAAGGGAAAATAATGTGTTTCCAGCATTGTCACAGGCCATTGTCGTCTTCCCCAGGGACAGTCAGCAGTCTGGGGCTCTGATGACTGAAAAACTAGCGGGTTCTGCCAGAAGCTGGATATTGCCTAGTGAGGGCCATCCAGAAAGTAGGACTGCCAGGCTAAGGTGCTGTTTATTTCAGTATAATTTCACTTTGTTGGGGTCCTCATTGTATTGGTCAAACCTGAACATAGCAACTTGATTTGCCTGAGGATGTGTTGTGAAGTGGCAAGGGCAAGGCTGCATCAGAACGCCTTACTCCAAAACTGTGATCAAACCTCACTACTCAGCTGCTGTCAGACACCAGTGTCACCTCATCTCACAGCATGAAGCAGTGCCTCCGTAGGTGTCTGGGAAATCTGTGCTTGGCTTTTCTGCGTATCTGAAATTCCCATAATATGAGTTTAAACAGCTCTTCCTCGAGCTAAGTGTCCTCTGCTTCCTAAACTGATGGGGATACATGTGCTTTTGCCTAGTGTCTTTGAAGGATTTGAAAGGGTGGCACTGCTCAAACCATGTCTAACGCACACCAACAGGAGCCGGTTGCCAGTCTGAAACAAAGCTGGAAGAAGTAGAAGTGGGGAGGGCAGTTGATTTTTTCTTTTAAAAGCCTACCCAGATGAGATAGCAGAGTCCTGCTGTATGTGATAGCCTACTGGAAGGGCTCCTCACCTAAGCTGTTGGCCAGAGGAGCAGGAGCAGGCAGGTCCGTTCATTCCCTTCCTGGCTTCAGGGGGCCCTGAAGACTCCCAGGAGCCACTGGTGCTACCAGTTACCCTGGTAGAGATGCTGGTTTGTTTTCTGAAGTGCAACCTTCTGAGCAAGAGAGCTGGGTGGACTTGCTGTCCATACAGTCCACACCGCTTGCTGGCTGCTGGAGCCCTGTTGTTTTCTGTGTGTCCTCCTCTCTCTGTTCTTCCCAGCCCCTGAGCTACCTGGTCTCTCCCTTGTCTAGGGAGATCATCTGCTTGGATACTCACTCATGGGGGAATGCCAGCATCACGCTCTGGACTGCGTTCATGTAGATGTGGGTGAGAGCTAAAAACCAAGAGCTGCCGCTGCTTTCAGGGCCTGCTTTGAGACTTCTTGCAGGAGTGGCAGCTGAAAGGCCAGGTTGCTACCAGAAGGTGTAGGGAGGTGGCAGTCCCGGGCCACTTGGTTTTCTCCCTGGGATGACTGCAGCCTGTGCGCTTCTGGCTGAAGATCTCTGCAAGAGTGGAGCCCTAAGCTCAGTTGCCCTGCAGCTCCACCACCTCTTGAGTGCCACAGCTCTTTCATCACCAGGGAGTC